AGGACCCTGCCTTTGTCTGCTCCACCACAATGACATCAGACACGCTCCTGAGGGCTTCGAGTGCGGAGGAAAACCCGCACTGCCTGTACGGGAACTCCTGGCCAAAGCAGCTGAGGAAGGCCTTGTCCAGGTCCTGGAGCAGGAGAGGGGAGGAGCTCAGCAGGTCCTGCAGCTCAGCCTTCACTGTCGCCGGCAGGACAGGAGTCCTGGCTCTCAGAGGGGAATGCGGGGCATTCTTAGAGTTCTTAAAGGGAGAAGCAGCGTTTGCCTTCAGAGTTCTCTTCCAGGTCTTAGCACACGTCCTTCCCTTCTGGCAGGCAACCAGCTTGGCAATGCCTACGGTGGTGTCGTCTGCAATGGCTACAACAGAAGGAAATAAACATAAAACCCAAACAACGAACTACTAAAAGCTCTACACTGGCAAAGCTCCTCTTCATTCCCTTCTTTCCTCTTCCCCCATCCTTTTCAGAAGCAGGCGTCTTCTTCAAAAGCAATCAAATTTTCCAGCAGCAAACTAACCAACCCCTTTTTTAGAAGCCAGCAACCAAGTCTGCACCCTTATCCCTATAAACTCACACCAGGTAGGAAGGCAGGTCAAATTCCTGGATGCAGGGTCACAAACAAAACCTGCTGAGAGTTTTGCTGGGAAAGCAGAATCACAGTAAACTCCCACTATAGAGCACTTCCCTGCCCAGGCAAGGGAATTGCCAGGAGAACAAGGGAGCACTGGAGAGCAGCCCAGATCTTTTCCATGCTTCTGTGCAACTTTATCTGGTCTTAACTGTAGCACTCAAAAAGCCCCCAAACATTTCACCCATCCCAAACAATTCTTTGCACCTACCATTTCTTTCCACAACTCCTCTCCAAAGAAAATGAAAATGGTTCTTTGATAAGAGACTAAACTTCCAATGGGGTCAGGTAGGGAAACATTTATAGCTTCTTTTGAGAGGCCCCATCCCTGGTTTTGGCTTCTGCTCTAGTCCGCATTTACAGGAAAAGTGATGCTTACCAGCTCTAGTGCACCCATAGGAAATGTTACCTCAGTTTCTATACTAAGTGCAGAATGCAAAAAATGTACAAAACCAACTAGAAGCATGGGTGATTTTCTCAGAAGGAAAGGAAGTGTTAAAAGGCAGTTCAAAACCAGGGATGAAACATCAAAAACAACAAGTTAACCAGAGATGAACGAGAAACAGGCACGTGATATAAGGCATCACTTCACACCAGTATGAGGTTCCAAACAACTCCTCCACCCAACAAAACCTCACCTTTGAGGATAACAGTGCCATTCTTACAAGGAAAGACTCGAACAACTTCAGGCATGTGTGTCACCAGCTCCAAGGTGGACTGGAAGCCCAGGTCTTGGAGGGGCAGAGGTTTGCAGACCATGGCCGTGTACTGCTCCTCCAGCTCTGCTGGCGTTAGGCCGTCCTTGGCAGCTATCAGCATTGCCCTCACCTCCTTCTTCAGCAGCTCCATGAGCTGCGCCTGCTTCGCCATGTCTGCCCTGAAGGGGAAACGCAAGCCAGCAGATGACAACCTGCACCACCACAGCTGCTCAAAACCCAGTGGAATTCCAACTCGCTCCCAGTGAGAGCTGGAGGGGATTAGCGGGCAGCAGGTTCACCAACCCACTACCTACCAACCCCTGCATTCACTCGCCAGCGCCCCTGGAGTTCAGCGCACCCCTAAACTTCCCCCACAGTCCCTGCCACTCCGGAGACCCTGCGCCCTCAAACTGCTGCCCGAGGAACTCCCCACCGGCCCGAGGGGCTCGGTGCTCCTCAGAGTGCTCCTCATATAGCGCCCCCCAGCCTGGGGGTTCGCCCCTCAGCCTCACAGAGTCCCCTCAGTCACCCCCGATCCCCACGCCGGGACACCCCCACCCTCCGGTGTCGCTCCCACACTCACGACGCCATGACTCCCGCTCCCAGCGCGCACGCGCGCCGCCTTTCCCGCCTTCACGGGGCGCGAGGACAAGGCGGAGCACTCCCCCCC